AATGGTTTAAAAAACGTGTGTAGTGGTGATACTGGTCATTTTCCACAAAACATTACTAATAATTTGTGAAAATGGCAAATATTTGAATATTTATTGATTTTATTGATCTTTGTTAAGAAAAATATCCTGAAATTAAAAATTTAATGGGTCATGATTGGAGAATAGCAGTTCAAGCAATATTTTGTGTATTATTACAAATAATTACGGCCATATTAATACGTCAATCATCATGGAAATTAATTTTTCTTGTTGCTTACATTGTTGGAGGAACAATAAATCATTCATTATCATTAGCCCTACACGAATTAACACATAATTTAGCGTTTGGACATTCAAGACCAATGTGTAATAGAATACTTGGATTTATTACAAATTTACCACTAGGCGTTCCAGCATCAATCACATTAAAAAAATATCACCTTGATCATCATAGGTGAGAACAAAAATTTAACAAGTTTAATAAATAAATATATATAGTTAGTTATTTTTAATAAATTTCTCTTCAATTCTTTATGATTAATGTTTTTGTTTATTTCTATATTTTTAGATTTCAGGGAGATGGTGTGTACGATACAGATATACCAACGAATCTAGAAGTAATGTTATTTTCAACACGTCTAGGAAAATTTATATTTTTGATAATAATGCCATTACTATATTCATTTCGTCCAATGTTTGTTTTACCAAAAGCTATTCATTTATTAGAAGTCGTTAATTTTATAACAGCATTTTCATTTGATTTTATAATGTACTATTATTTTGGAGGAAAAGCAGCAACTTATTTTATATTAAGTACAATATTAGGACTATCAGTACATCCACTTTCAGGACATTTTATTGCTGAACATTATGTATTTACAGAAGGACATGAAACATATTCTTATTATGGTCCATTGAATTGGATTACTTACAATGTGGGATATCACAATGAGCATCATGATTTTCCATTTATACCCGGATATAAATTACCAAAAGTTAGAAAAATAGATAAATCTTTATTTATTTACAAATATATAAGTACATTAATTTTTATGTTTTTAGGTACGTCAAATAGCCGCTGAGTATTACGATAATCTACCACATTATGATAGTTGGACAAAAGTTTTATATGATTTTGTTATGAATCAAGATGTTGGTCCATGGTCCAGAGTAACACGTCCGAGTAAAATGGGAAAATCTGTTGTTATTAGTCAACAAGAATATGAAAAGCAAGTAGCGAAAGCTGAAAACTAGTGTATAGTTGAGGCAGTATTTTTACTTTTATAACTATAAGTAAACATAATTGATATATTTTTCACGATTTAATGAGCATAATCCGAAAATGCTCTTCTAAATGTCAAGATATACATGTAGTTTAACACTGAGTCATGAATACAGCGATAGATTCAATAGTGGCTCATGGACATAGATAACTTAAACACCGATTTTCTTACTAAGTCTAAATATTTAATATCAGGCTTAGAAGATTTTTCATGATTAACGTGTGATGTATTTATTTTCTTAGGTTATAACTAGTTCTTATTCTTTACTCGTTATTTGTACTATGGCTATCACTTTTATTTATAGCCTTATTTTCTAAAAATGCTTAAATTAATAAATTACGAAGAGTTGCTTTGTGTTGTTATTTTTTCTCTATACATTCAGTTTTTTGTAGTAAATTGAAGTATACGTTTTATCTAGCGGTCTTAAAGAATAATATGTTTTTTTTTTGCGAACTTACTCTTCCTTATACTTCCTTTCTATTACTAGCTTATGGAACATATCCTTATGTAGTTTGGCTGCACACCGTTTACGGGCCAAACAAAATACAAATGTATCAATATCTTCTCTGGCATAATCAATCGTATAAACAACGGTATCGTTAACTGATTTCATTACGGATGCCATTAAATTGAATAAACATTGTCGTTTAACAAATCGTAGTTCAACAAGCATGCTTTCAAGATAAATTCTACCTGAACACCATAGTAGATATAAATTTTCTGATTCTTTAACAAAATTGTTGTTGCCCTGTTCATCTGGATTGTCTATTGTTGTTTTATTTAAATCTTTTGTTTGACCGTTATCACCCACGCATGCAAAATTTTTTTCTAATAAATCTCGTTGTGTTTGATAGAAAACGGTGGCTAAACGTGAATTTTTTGTACGTCCAATAAGAAAATTAATTAAATATCCTAGTAGAGCAATGATCATTAATGCTTCAAAACGATAAGCTTCCCAACGGTTGCCAGTTAAATTCAATGGTACATCAGTAATTTTAAAATCAGATGATTGTTGATTGGACGATTGAACATTGTTACCAAATAATTCTGATTCAGATGTTTCAAATTCTTCCTCGTCAAAAACGAAATCATCTTCATCAGCGACTGAAGCTTCATCATCATCTTTGCCGGTTGATGTTGATGATGAAGATTTTAATGGGGTACTAGAGGAACTCTGATCAGTTTTTGGGCTTTGTTGCTGAGATTGTGCTTGTTGATGTGTTTTAGGGCTGGAAGTTGATGAAGGTGTCTCTGCGATGGAGAATAAAGCGAATTTAATTAGGACATTAGATGATTAATAAGTATTACAGACCTGTAACAAATTCTTCTTCATCAAAATCATCAAATTCAGAAAAATCATCTTCTTTAGCAGATCTTTTGACTGAAAAGCAAACATTGCACAGGAGACTCAAAAATATGAATAAAAAAAGCAAACGTAAAAACATATCTGAAATAAAAACTAACATGTATGACAAAAATTATAAAAATATTTAGACATTCTCTATTTTTCATTTGAGAAAAAAACACAAAACGAGAGAAATACATCAATCAAAATTCGAAGGTATCTAGCCATGTTGCTAAGTTTTGTTGTCCGTATCTTAACCTTAATACGATATATCATTAAATCAAGTATACCTATTGGCAACAATCTATTGAGGAATGTTAAACGAACTGCCCAATCTAAATGTTTTTAGGCTAAGCTCGAGGGTTCTTTTCAAACTATAGAAACAGCTAGGCTCTCAATTTGGTCAACTTGTTTCTTTTAATGATCTTTGCTTTCAGTGGTTCCTTCAATGTACAAAGAAATGTCACAGTGTCACACCAAAAGGGTTGTATGACCGTAAAAGTGTGGCATCAAATTTTTCCCAAGTCGTACACTTTTAATATGTCACTGGTTTAATTTCACCAAACAAGATTTTAGCAACGGTTTTTGCTTACGTCATTCATCAACGGGTAATACTAAAACGCTGAATTTTTTTACTGAATGCTGAATTGCTGAACGACGCTGATTGGCTGACTTCAAAACATGGATTTCTGCTGATAAATTCAGGATTATGATCGATACTGTGACATT